TGTCCAAGCTAAAGATGAGGGGAAACTGTAAGATATTTTGTCTCAGTGGGCTTCTTATTGTTTTCTCATATAACACAGCTGGTAAGTCATTTTCAAAGTTTTTCATTAGACAGATAATCAGAAATTATGCGCACCCTGTAATGGAATGCGGCTGTGCTGTTGTAATATAAAGTCGATATATATTTTGAGGTATGAAGTGCAAATATTTTTTGTTACTATTCATTAGGTCAAACGTGCAGGGGACGCTGTGGAGATGTACTGGAGAAGTGCTCCTGCCATGATACCTGTATGTCTTTGATGAGCTGCTGTGCAGACTACAATCAGTCCTGTTTCCAGGTGATCCCTTATTCCAGCTCCATGCTGGGCGGAAAAGCGCTCAGGATCCTCGGATTGGACCTTCATCCCCATGGGCAGCTTCTCTGCAGGTGTGTTTTTGTAGTATAAGAGTGTAATTTTAAGGTCAGAGATATTTTACTAGGATTTAGATGGCATTGTGGGTAATTAGCCAGATCTCAGCAAACTGATGGGAAATGTGGGGCGGAAAGTGCTTTACCTGTGCTGAAAGGTGGTCTAAGATGTTAACATAGCTTACTAAACTGTGAAGGTGAAAGGTTTGGCGTTTATGTTTATACACTAAGCATGAACGGAAGCTAAGGTTTGTAGTCAGATTCCACTAGTCTCTCTATATTTGTGTTTTCCATTTGAATCACACAGTTCTTGTTACTAATAAATTGTGTTCTTTTTTTTTCAGGTTTAAAGGTGAAATTTTACGTGATGGATTTATTGATGCTGAGGGCCGTGCATACTGTATTTCTCCTCTATTGTATGAGACAGGTTGGATACCATTTGATGTCTCAACAGATGGCATTAAGTTTGACAGATCTGCACAGTATTTCTCAGGTAAGCTGCTGAAATATAAAGCTGTTTATTAGGGGTGCAACGATACACAAAATTCACGGTTCGGTTCGGTTCGATACTTTGGTGTCACGGTTCGATATTTTTTCGATACAAAAAAAT